CTAGGTAATCAATCGCTGGTTCCACAGACTGATACTCCGCGTCTATCAAGAGTGGCAAGCGGCCGTCAGCGCAGGCATCACAGATTTTCCTTAGCCTATTGTGAGCTGATGTGATGGCAGCTTCCTCGCTGGGCGTGAGAGGGGAAGGTGCTGAGGTGGGGGTGAAGTAGGTGGGGGACTCGAGAGCTAGAATCGGGAGGGAGGGGCGGCGCCACGGCATGGGGACAGAGGCAGCCGAGGAGGTGGAGGAAGAGGAGGAGAGCTTGTGGTCCCAGCGCAGGAGTTCGCTGACTCGTTCGAGCACCGGGAGTGGGCAGAGGGCCGTGATCTTGACACAGGCGAAGCTCACCTGCATGGAGTGATTGGTATGCATAACAGGGCATGGAGTATAGAAGGCTCGTGGTTGAATGGGAAGGGGACCTTGAAGGGGGGCTATAAAGGAGATCCGGCTATGGATGGATGTGTAGAATGCAAATGGGTTAGGAATGGACAACAGAAATAATAGATATACCGAGCCCAATGGGTGTTGAAGATTTCTGCTACTTCACTGGGTGGGTAACCTACGACTAGTCTGCACAATCTCTAGTTCATTTCACAATTTTTTCCTCGAGAGCCTTCTTTTGCATCACCAGAAAGAAACTCTTACCATGGGTGGTGACAACTGCGACGCCATTCTGATGGTGCGCAGAAACCCTTCCATGTTTCGGTCGCATGTTTCATCATCTAACGCGTCCTCCACACTGTGTTGTAGAGGTGGAAGAAGATGGGAGGGAAGGGGGTAAAGTAAAAAAAGGCGTAAATGATGAAGCATTTTCTCGTGATTACGAATCATATATGAATGACAGACTAGTGTAACTTAAATGTTGTTGAACTAGAAATATCAGTGTTATGAACTTAACATATAAAGGTTATAAGTTTGGTGTAGCACCTTTCCAACCTTGTTCAGAATACCAACCGGCACTTTCGCGAGCCGCGTGGACCGAAATTCGGGATTTTCAATGACCTCTGAAATTCGCGTCGCTCACACCACCCACCACCCCAAGCCCGTTCCGCAGCCTTCCCCATCCATCAGAATCCGAAGCACTCACTTCCCTCCCTCGTACAAATCGAGGCTCGCACCCACTCTTCTCCCCCAAATCAATCTACTCGCTCTCACAATTCCTGCATCCCTCATCGACAGCTTATGCATAATTTTGCTTATCACGCCGCGTGGATGGAGAGCACCTCGGGATCATCGGGACCTACCGCCAGTGGCGGAGCTCGGGTCACAGCGCGCCGAACTGGCGGCTTGACCCACGACGGCACCTCCGCTGAATCCGTCCTATTAGTAGGTCCCGCAGGACCTGGAGGCATTCAAGGAGCGAATCCCGCAGCTCTCTCATCGAACTCGGCTACGCCCGCGGTTGCGAGCGCAAACGGAAACGCGAGTGCCAATGTAAACGGAGACTCAAGCCCCAACGCCAACCCCAGCGGCAACGCCAATGCCAACGCTAATGGGAACGTCAACAACGCCAACCCGAATGCCAACGGGGTGGCGGATCACGAATCACGTTTGGACGAACACCCTCGTCGACTGAAAGAGGCGGCCGAGGCGGCATCGTCATGGGCGGCCGTGTCATCGCTCACCGCGTCCTACGCTTCCTACACGGCTTGTGTCGCCGTGATCGCCGCTCTCGGCGCGACCGCCGCCATCGCGTGGACCAGCGGGGATGCCGTGGAGTCGCCGAGAAAGGCGAATTTCCGCGCAGTTGCGCGCGCCATCGCGGCTACGACGAGCGCGGTGGTGGTGGCGGTGACGGCCACGGCGACCGCGAACGTCGCGAGCGTGGGGGCGCACGCGTCGAGTGTGCTGGCGGAACGGCTGATGCTGCAAGCGGCGGTGCAGGAGCGACGCGCGGAATCAGCGGCGAGGAATAGGGGACGCGGAGAGAGGGGGGGGCGCGGGGACTAGGGGGGACGCGGAGAGTGGTGGGGACATGAAGTGTAAAACGCGCACGTGACGTCCAACTCAGAGCTTGCTACGCAAGCCACGCGCTCCCCCCAGCAAACCGCCGAGAGTACACGAATTGTATAGCTGTCCAGCTACCGTTATGGAGGTCAGTGATCTGCTGCCCTCGTAGTTTCTGTTCACGATGCAGTTAAAGCTGATAGAAAAATAGCTCTGATCCGACGCATCGAAAAGTGACTACAAGCTTCACGCCTCGGCATTGTTAGAGGAGACAGCATCTAGATGATTGATCACTAAGCTCTATTTTGTCGCTTCGGTGTGCCATCTGACTGCACAGCTAGCTGCTTCCTCTCTTGCTGTTTCCTCTCTAGCTCGTCCCATGTACTAGTTCTACCTGCATTCGTTTCCATAACGCTTTGCTCTAACAAACGCGCGTAACAGCAATCCAATGCACCCCTTCGCGGAGAATTTTGAAGGCTCGTTGGCGGACGGTAGAACCGCAAGCAGTAACGCTCTTACAAGCTACGGCTGTTCTTCTGAGTTTGCCGGACCTCGCTTGCTTCACCTCCTCTCTGTACGCTTCGCTTCGGTAAAATCGTTCAGCTACAAGATACACTCAACTGTACTGTTTTGAGGGCGTTTATTCGTATAAATTGTCGAAAAGAAATATGTACAGTACCTGAAGTCCAGGATGCCTTTGAGACCGAGTTGCTGCATGCGGTCGAGCGTCGCAACCGCCTCCTCCAGCGTCTCCCCCGCGCAGAAGTGCTTATGCGCCGTCTTCCGCACCCCCCACAGCACCGGCCCCGCCACCAGCGGAATCCGCATCACAGGTGACGTCAGCAGCGCTGAGCTGGCATCCACCACCATCTCCCGCGCCGCCATTTCGAGGTTCAGGATCGCGTTCGCGACCTCTGACGTGGACAGCTGTTGAAACAGCTTCTGCACGTTTTCCACATTGAGCGACTCTGCTGCGGCCGCCGCATCCCCGCCCGCCGCCTTTCGCGCGGCATCTGCCAGCGTGGACGACGCTACGTCAGCTTTGTCGCCGCCACCGCTGCTACCGCGAGAGGAGAAGAAGGGACGCGCGGAGAGGGGCTGGTCAAGGACGAGATTTGCGGCGCTCGCGGCGAATGTGGGGGACAGATGACGAGGAGGTGAGCGGAGAGCGTGGCGGGAGAGGGCGGCTGGCGAGGGGAAAGAACACGCGGGACGGTCGAGAGGGGAGAGCTGAGAGGGAAAGGAGGAGGCCGGGGTTGAAAGAAAGCGCCTGACGCCTGAGGGCGCGCTGAAGGGGATGGGAAAACTGCTTGTTGGGCCATCGGCTGTAGCGGTTGTAGCAGCTGTAGCGGCTGTAGCGGTTCCATGAGCAGGAGATGTTCCCAAGGGCGGTGCAGAGGTGGAGGGAACAGAAGGCGGGGCTTGAACGAGCGTGGTAAGAGCGGCCAGGGAGTTCTGGAGGAGGGCCGTCGCTGGAGCGGCTGCGAGGTAGAGGTGGTGGTGGAGTCGTGAAGCTGCGCTGAGAGCATGACGTGAGGACGACGACATTCCGTTGATCGACGCCGCCATTGTTGCTCAAGTGTGGCTGTTTTGTGTTCAAGGTTGAGCAATACGCCACTGGTAGCAGTCGTGGGAGATGTCTATTCCGCTGGGGTCCCTACGTGTGACAGGGAGATCCACTCATTGCTCCTATTACAATCGTACAAGCCGCTTTCTATTGTTCGTAAAGCCTGGTTCAGAGAAAGCTGTCGTCGGGGGACCTAGAGAAAGCGGCTTGAGCGACCTTATAAAATTCGGAAAACTGGTTTTAGGGTAAACGAGTCTCGAGAATCCGTATGTTATATGCTTCACCAGGTAATGGTCCTAGGATAGTCAGGCGAGTGCAACAACAGAAGCATCGACATTTACAGACCTAAAGCATGAGCAGAGTGAGCGTGAGAAGAACTGGGCTACGGATATTGAGGTAGTAAGATGGTCAGAGAACTTGCGGCTGCCTGAACATAGACCAGGAAAATGGAATTTCAACATGGCTGGCTGGGAGGGAAGAGCGAACTGATGCAGTAACGATTTGCATTCGTCAAGCAAGGCCATGCCGTGGTTCCAGATGGGAGCCGCAGAAGAACGCCAGCGCGACAGCGATTGGCTGACTTGACACCAAGCATTGGCCGGAGGTTTGGCTGAGCTGGAAAATGCTCACGTGATTGACGTGGCTTTTCGCGCCAATGACGAGGGCTGGGACTGGATATTCGCTGGGCTGCCGTCAGAATGACAAGACTCGGTTCGCAAGGTTGTTGGGAATTGCAGAATGGGGACTCAGAAATGGAAGCTTACTGTACGGTTCCACTTAAATAAAGGCATACGATAAATGATTGCAAAGACCTATTGTCGGAGCAAATAACGGAATGTATGTTGGTGCACCACCCAAATGGTCTCCATATATCTTGTGCTGCCTCGATATTCTCCCAGCTTCGATTCAACCCGGAATGTTGTTCCACACCCTAACGCGTACATCACGCCCACAATGGAAAGGCTTGATATTTTTTCACCAGTTTAGCGGGCCCCAGAATTAGCTGGCCCATAATGGCCCCTCTTCGCGCGTCCGCGCGTCGCGCGCTTACGCTGGTCCACGAACGACAACCGTTGATTTCGACTTCTGTGCCTTCCGTCGAATCAACGGCTGGTACAATGGCAGCTGGCATCACGGCAGGAACAACGGCGGGGATCACGGCGGGTAGATTGCCGAGGGTCGCTAGGTCCTTGCCTTGGCACGAATCCACACCAATTGGCGTCCGTAGATGCGGATTGTACGGTCCTTCGCAACCGCTAAGCGCGCTATTGGCGCGAGATCAACGGTCTGGATTCATATCCCGGGGGGCTTTAGCAGGAGCGGTGACGCTGCTGAGGACCAGTGAAGTATGGGGTTCCAGTAACGGCGGATCTGTGCCGTCCACATTGGCTCGGCAGCCGATCCAACGGCTGGCGATGCCTCAACCACCGCTTTGCGCGGGGCTTCCGCTTTTGCGCGAATTTAGCGCCTCCGCTGCCGCTTCAGATGCAGGCGAGAGAGGCGAGTCGAACCTGGAAGAGCCGCGGACTAAGAGCTTCCGCTCTCGGAATCCGAAGCCTGGATTCCAACGGCTTGGCCAAGATCCCTGGGATCGGACGGCTGGAAGCAGCTGGGCTGTTTCAGATGCAAAAGATCAAACGGCTGGTATGCGTTCATCGGGGGATCGGACGGCGGAGGGGGATCGCAGACGGAGCGACGGGGGAGGGAGGGGTAGAATGGGAGGTGGGAGAGGGTGGGACAGGCGGAATGAGGGAGGCAGGGAGTGGGAGGGCAGGAAGGAAGGAGATAGGGAGGGTGTGGGAAGGAGGAGGGAGTGGGAGAGTAGAGCTGGGGGTGACAGCGAGGTACAGAGGGGGAGGGGAGAGGGGAGGGGATGGGAGAGTAGGAGCGGCGGTGGGAGGGAGTGGGAAAAGAGGGGAATGGCGAGGGAGTGGGGGAACGGGAGAGAGGAGAACAGAAGCGGGGGGGGCGGAGAGTGGGGGAACAGAAGCGGGGGTGGCGGAGAGTGGGGGAACAGAAGCGGGGGTGGCGGAGGGCGGGGGGAGAGGGGCGGCGTTAGATCATGGGAGCAGCGCGGGTCGAGGAGCAGCCGAGAGCATGAGATGGAGAAGCGGGAGCGGATGGGGCAGGGGGGGCGAGGAGTGGGGGATGGCGCAAGTAGCGGGAGCGGTGGCAGGGGGAGCTGGGGGGACAGGGGGAGCAGGGAGGACAGGGGGAGCAGGGAGGACAGGGGTGAACGGGGGGGAAGAGGGGGAAGGGGAGGAAGGGGGAGCAGGGAGGGGAGGAGCAGCTGGGAGGGCAGGGGGAGCAGTGGGGGGAGGAGCAGCTGGGGGGAACGGGGGAGCAGGGGGGGAAGGGGGGCCAGAGGGAGCGGTGGGGGGAGGGGGCGCGGAGGGGGCATGGGGGGCAGAGGGGACATGGAGAACGGGGAGAGTATGGGGGAGATTGGCAGGGGGAGTGGCAGCATGGCAGGCGCGCGGAGGAATAGGTGGGGGGAGGGAGAAACCGGAGCAATACTAGCTGCGGAAAGAGAGGGGTGGGGGGAGATTGGAGCTGGGATAAGGGGAGCGGCGGAAGGAGGGCGGAAGGTGGGGGGGGTAGGGGTGAAAGGGGCGGAAAAGGGAGAAGGGGGAGAAGGGGCGGAGGCGGCGGAGGGGAAGGAGGGGTACAAGGGGGTATTCTGGGTGAGTGGAAGTGGGTATAAGGGCACGGGGAGGGATCGACGGCGCGATGTGAGTGGCGCTCTTGGCACCACTGGGGATGGGGAGAGGTGGATGGAGGGCGGGGATGAGGGGGAGGAGGAAGAAGAAGAAGAAGATGAGGATGAGGAAGAGGATGAGGAGGAGGAGGAGGAGGAGGAGGAGGAGGAAGAGGAGGAAGAGGAGGAAGAAGGAGAATATGAGGAGGATGAAGAGGAAGAGGGGGAGGAGGAGGGAGAGGAGAGAGGATGGAAAAGGAAAGAGACTGGGATGAAGGTCGACGGGGTTCAGGGTTTTAAGCGCCAGGAATTTTCCCAGGGTCTGTCTGCTGAGGAGAAGCAGCAGATCTGGAGAGAATCGAATCTCAATCCAGACCGCCCTCCCCAAGATGCTGACAGGCCGCCCTGGCAAACCCTTCTAGAGAGACCAGCAGTGCCGCACGTGCGTGACGATGCAGCAAAATGGCAAAGGAAAATGGTGGAGAAGCGAGCGAGAAGAGACGCTGAGAGTGACAGAGATTGGGAGCGGGGCAGGGAGTGGGAGAGGGAGAGGGAGCAGGGTTTAAGCGGGGGTTTAGGGGAGAGGGACCGGGAGGGTGCGGCTGACATGGCAAAGTTAAAGGTGGCGTGGCTGATTGATGAGCTGGCGGTGCTGCGGCCGGCAGCGATCGTGAAGCTGCTGAACGCGCAGCGGGCGTGGATAGGGATGGAGCATGTGGAGGGGGTGGTCAGAGGGCTGCTGGAGAGAAAGGAGACTCTGCGTGCAATTCGGGTATGTGTTGGGCATGGTTTCGGGTTCAGGGTTCGGGGTTCGGGGTTCTGATCCAGGGTTCGGATTCAGGGTTTTATTTCTATTGTCCGTAGGCCTTGCTGACCTGCTGTCAAACCACACTCTTTTCCCCTGCTCCCCTCCCTGCCCGACTCATTGCTTCCCCACTCCCCCATTCTCCACCTCCCGAACCCTTCACCCCCCCTGCTTCTCTCAACCCTTCCCCCTCTCCAGGCGCTCAAGTGGGCGCGCCAAACCGCCTTCTACGCACCCATCCCCGCCCTCTACGCCGACCTGCTGGACGCAGCAACGGCCAATCAGCACGTGCCACGCGCGCAGGAGCTTTTCGACATGATGCTGGCCCACGGGCTGGTGCCCCCTAGAAGAAACTACGAGGGGCTAATCAGAATGTTCCTACGAGAAAGCCGGCGGTTGCAGGAGGGGAAGGGTCCGAGTTGGGAAGGGGAGGAGGAAGACGGAACCGGAGGGGTACTTGACAGTCAAGATAGGAGCAGAGCGGTGGAGAGTGGTGGAGAGGCTGGGAGAGGGCCCGGGGGATTCAAGGGGTTTAAGGAGATGAAACAGGCTGAGAAGGAGGCGGCAGAGGTGGAGAGGGGTTGGGAGGTTTACCGGCAGATGAAGCAGTTTGCAGAGCTCACTCCCAGCAGGGCCATACAGGAGGAGCTGTGGGCTGTTCTCACTCTCAGGGGTGGCTCTGGGCGGCACTTGGTTAAGGCTGAAGAGCTGTTGAGAGATATGGAGGCTGGGGAGGGGATGGAGGACGGGGAAGGGGAAGGGGAGGGGGAGGGGGATGGGGAGGAGAGTGAAGTGGGGGATAAGGAAATGGAAAGGGTGCGATCCCCCGCCGATTCTCGTGTGCGTGCCGCCCGGTATGCACTACTGTTGCGCCATGCTGGCCTTGCAGGTGACGTGGCACGCACGGAGAATCTGCTCTCGCGGATGCGGACGGTGGGAATACCGCCGAATTCCGCCGCCCTGGAGGCGCCAGTTGTCGCGTGTGCATTGGCCGGAAAGCGGAGGAAGGATTGGGAGGGAGGGGGGGTGGGTGGGGGAAAGGGAGGTAAGGAGGGGATGAAAGAGGGCGGGGGAGGAGAAAGGCTGTTGAGTTTGGCAGAGAGAGCTGAAAAGGGGATTGAAGAGCTTGAAAGCGAAGGTTTTCTGCCCGGGCAGGTGGTGCTGACAGCGCTGATGGAAACTTACAACCATGCCGGGCAGCACGAAAAAGTTTTGCAAGTGTGGCCGAGAGTGCTGGAGGCTGGAAGCAAATTTTCTAAGCGCGTGAAACAAGATGATGTCGACAGGGGGGAGGGGGGAGAAGAGGAAAGGGAGAGGGGAGAAGGGGAAGAGGAGGGGGTGGAACGGGAATTGGAGGGTGGGGGCCAGGGGTCACGAGATAGACTAGCAGATGACAAAGCGGTGATGGTGAGAGCTTATAACGCGTATGTGGAGGGGGTGGTGGGTGCAGGTGAGATGGGGAGGGCGGAGGAGGTGGTGGGGGAGATGGCAGCTGAGGGGATCCCTGGGTTGCACCTGAGGGAGGCTTATCTGTCCCTGCTGAGAGGGTATGTGCGGATGGGTGGGGGAGGGGGAGGGGGGGTAGTGGACGGGATAGAGCAGGGAGAGGGGATGGGAGAAGGTGGGGAAGGGGAATGGATGGGAGGGGAGGGTAGGGACGAGGCACGGAAGGCTTTGGATGCGGTTGGTGGGTGTTTCCGAACCATGGTTCAGGCTCGGTGCGAGCCGAACCAGGAGGCTTGGAACCTGTACATCCGTGCGTTGATCCAGGCTGGGGAGATCAGAGAAGCTATGAAGGTGTACAGAGCGATGCAGAGCAGTGATGAGGCAACCAAGAAGAGAAAGGAGAAGAGCAAGGGTGGGGGGAGGAAGAAGGGGAAGGGGGTAGGGGCGGGTGCAGGGACGAGCACAGAGGGGGGTGAGGGGATGGGTGAATCAGGGAGGGTTACGGTGATTGGGTCGGGTTTGGAAGGAGGTTTGGCAGTCAGGTTCGGGCCGAACCAGGAGACGTACAACATGGTGATAGCTGCTGCTGGTGCAGCTGGTGATGTTGACACGGTGCGATCCATCTATACTGATCTTAGGGGCGGTGTTCCTCTTGCTGCCCGTGCTCCTACTGCTGGTGCTTCTGCTGCTGCTTTCGAGGTAGGGGACACAGAGGAAGAGGGGGAAGAAGAGGGAGAAGAGGATGAAGCAGGGGGGGCACTGGTGCGAAGCGCGCCCGCAAAGCTTAAAGCTAGACTACTCGGTTTGGCGAGGGAAGCCGCCCTGCGAGCGGTCGGCAGACGTCGTCTGCTAGCAGACGAGTCAGCAGGGCTGAAGCTCTCGCAGGAGCAGCGGCAGATCTTATCTGGGCTGATCCTCGCTGGCGCTGACGTGGCGAGCGATGACGGGGCCGCGACGGCGGCGGTGCGGTTTGCAGTGGCGGCGGGGGAGGAGAGGAGGGAGCGGGTGATAGAGCACCTGTATGAGTTGTTTGGGGAGTGGGCTGCTGGACCCATCGTGGAGGAGGAAGTGAGTGTGGATGGGGGTGGGGAGGAGGGCGGGGAGGTGAGTGGGGAGGCGGTTGGAAGGATGATGGGGAGGGAGGAAGGGGAGGAAGGGGGTGAGAGGGAGGAGGGGGGGAACGGGGAGAGAGAGAGCGAGGAGGGTGACTGGAAGGAGCAGGCAGTGGATAATTTCAGGGAGACGGGCAGCATGGGCAGCTCGGGCAGCACAGTGGGCAGGACGCAGCGGGTGCTGACGTTCAGCACGGTGCCGCACCCCTCGCTGGTGTTCTACCTGCACCAGTACCGCCCTGAGAAGCAGGATGGGCGGGCCGTTGTGCCCCGCCTCGTGCACAAGTGGCTCACCCCGCGCGCCCTCGCCTACTGGTACATGTACGCTGGTCAACGCGGTCAACCCGGTCAACGGGGAAAGCAAGGTCAGCCTGGAGGGTCGATTATTCTGGATGCGGGGATGTACCAGGCGAAGGAGGTGGCGCTTATAGTGAAGGCGCTTAAAGCGAGGACGATTGACTGTGCACAGAGCAAGAGGGGGAAGGGGAGCAAAGGGCAGCGTGCTGTGAGATTCTCGGGGGCCTCGGCTCAATTTCTATGGAAATTCATGGAGCCTTTTGTTTTGGAAGAAGTTAAGGAAGAGTTGAACCCTGTTGGAGGGGGTGGGAGTGGAGGAGGGAGGAGGGGAGGAGGGAGAGTGGGGTTGGGGAAGTTTACTGTGGGGGAGGGAGGGGTGGTGGTGGGTGAGGAGAAGTTTGTGGGCGGTGCAAAGGGTGTGGCGAATGAGGGGGCTCGGGAGAGCGAAGAGGACCGGCGGGAAGGCTGGGTGAGCCTGACTCGGGCAGTGAAGGAGGCAAAGCATGGAGGTTACGATGATAGTTGATGATTGGATGTGTGTTAAGCAAGGAGGATCCAGGATTGGCTGCTTGGCTGGTGGCTGTGACGTCTTCGCCACAGCTGCTGGACATGGCATGCTGCCACTGCGGAAGACAGCATCCATGTCAAAGAGGTTGGTTCAGTCTGTCTCAGCAAGCAGACTGGATAGCACCCACTCCATGCTCTTGCGGTACCTGGTAGCAATGCTACATGCGCTTACTGCCTTGCCCTGCATTATGTTTTGGGGTGTTAGCAAGTACCCCGAGTTCTGACCATTCCTGTACTGCACAAAATGTGAGAAATTGCCGAGTCTTGTCAATCCCTGCCATCCCCACTCGCTAAGGACCTGTCTGACTGGCTCTGGCTGGCTCTGTGCGTGCATGCATGCCGCATGCATGCACATGGTTGGCTTGGCTCCACTTCCACTTCCACATGGTTGACTTGCCCTGCACTTCCACTTTCTCCCATCACCGTACACATGCCTCTCATGCTAGCTCCGCCTCAATTCAACTCATCACTGTGAACGAGGGCTTGTCCTGTCGCAGCCAGGTCGTCCTCCTCGTGACAGTCTCACGGCACACCAGGGGCCTGGACGTCTCGTCATGGCGCGGCACAGCGCCTGCACTGCAGGAGGACACATGTCTGTCCTACTTTGGTGTTTGTGCCCACCCTGTCCTCCTCACGCTTCGACATGGCATACCCGAGCCAGGGCATTATGCCACGGTACACCATGCACGGCACCGCACCTGCAGGAGGGTACCCTGTCCTGCTTGCGTGCTTGTTTGTGCCCAGGCAGGCGCCATGAAGGCTGCCCAGTGCCCACCCCACCCACCTATTCCACAGCATGTAGACCCATCCCAGCACACCGCAACTGCAAAATAACACACCTAAGCAAAGATAGGCACACCTAACCACACCTAAGCAAAGATAAGCACACCTAAGCACAGCTAAGGACAGCTAAGCATGGCCAAGCACAGAAACGCGACATCTTGAGACCTTGGTGTTCCACCCACTGCCACGTGAGCAGGGAGACACTTACAAGCTGCAAAAGCGCACACCAGCACACAAGCGGAGCTGAGTAGGAGAAAGAGGTTGTGAAGCAAGCACTAAGTGAGAAATGCACGTTCGCAAGGGCTAGGAGAAGAGGAGCGGCGAGCAGGGAAGACGAGAGGCGAGCAGAGAAGGCGAGAGGACACGAAAGGAGGACTTCGAGAGGTGAGCAGAGTGGCAATAACATCTGGCAAGACAGCAGCTAAGACACATGGCACTGTGGAAAAAGGAATCTCCCGTCACCATGCACAGCGCTGCTATTGCTGCCACTGCTTCCCCCGCAGCTGTTGGAACAGCAGCAATGGGACATGGAGTGGGGAGGAGACCAAGGCAACCAAGTAACAGGACAAAGAAAAAGGGGAGCATGAGTAAAATGAGGAGGAGGCAAGCAAAAACCATACGATGGAAGCATAGGGTAAGCTGTAAAGTGAAGCACGTGCAATGAACTGACGCAGAGGGATAAGCACAACGCAACACAAATGACAAAGAGGACGGGGGAGGTAATACTAACCTTGAAAGTCAAAGCCCGGATGCTGCCTTTCCTCCCACCCGTTCCGCGTCCTCTCCATGCCAATCCTCTTCGACTCGCAGGCCGTGAGGCCCACGCATGCATGGGGAGAGATACACGCACACAGAAGCGGCACCAACCAAAAAGGGAAGGTTAAAAGGAGCAGGAGGCGAGTCGCGGACGCAAAAGCAACAGACACGACTCTTGCCTCTGCGCGGCAACGCTCTACGACTCACTACACTCCCCCCCAGAAGCACCCCCTGGCGCGTACCACACTCTGTCCGCTGCTCTGCCACTCCTGCACCATGCCTTCTCTTCACACCTGCTACTCCAAGTTTCTCCAGGTTGCTCCGTTGCTCCGGCTGCCCATGCTCGCAAGCCGTGAGGCACACACACACACGCACGGGGAGAGAGAGGCACACACAGAAGGGGCACCAACAAGCGAGGGTTAGAAACAGCAGGAGGGGAGTGGCCGAGGCAAAAGCAAGAGACACGACACGAATCTTGCCTCTGCGCGGCGACGCCCTACGACTCACCAGACTGTCCCCTGCAATCACCCCCTGGCACGTACCATGCTCTGTCCGCCCACTCTGCCACGCCTTCCCTTCATGTGTGCTGCTCCAGGTTGCTCGGTTGCTGCCACTACCCGTTTGTTGGCCGTCAGGCACACACACACATGAGAAGAGAGACACGCACACAGAAGCGGCACCAACCAACAAGGGATGGTTAGAAGGAGCAGGAGGCGAGTCGCGGAGCAAAAGCAAGAGACACGACTCTTGCCTCTGCGCGGCGACACCCTACGCTCACCATATTACCCCCTGCAAACACCCCCTGCACGTACCATGCTCTGTCCGCCGCTCTTAGCTCCTACGAGCCACGCCTTCACTTGAGGCGTGCTGCTCCAGGTTGCTCGGTTGCTGTCGCTGCCCGTGCTCGCAGGCTGTGAGGTGAGGCACACACACGCATGGGAGGAGAGGCAGCCACACAGAAGCGGCACCAACAACCAAGGGAGGGTTAGAAGGAGCAGGAGGCGAGTGGCGGAGGCAAAAGCAAGAGACACGACTCTTGCCTTTGAGCGGTGACGCCCTACGACTCACCGCACTGCCCCGCCGGCCACGCTCTGCGGTGGCAGAGCCATGATGTGCGGTGAGCTGCGGTGCGCTGCGGTGCACTGTGGTGCCTTGCAGTGCGCTGCGGTGCCTTGCGACGCGCTGCGGTGCCGTGTGGTGCCTTGCGGTGGACTTTGGTGCCTTGCGGTGCGCTGCTGTGCCATGCGGTGAGCTGCGGTGCACTGTGGTGCCTTGCAGTGCACTGCGGTGAGCTGCAGTGCGTTGCGGTGAGCTGCAGTGCGCTGCAATGAGCTGCGGTGCGTTGCGGTGCTGTGCGGTGCCTTGTGGTGCACTGTTGTGCCATGCGGGCAGTGCGCTGCGGTGCACTGTGGTGCCTTGCAGTGCGCTGCGGTGCCCTGCGGTGGGTTGCGCTGCCTTGCGGTGGGCAGCGGTGCCTTGCGGTTCGCTGCCGTGCCTTGCGGTGCGCTACGGTGCCATGCAGTGTGCTGCGATGCAGAACTGACAGAACTGAAAGATTGTAGACATGACAGAAGTGCACACGAGAAAACAAGAGAAGGGTGAATGGAGAAGTGGTATACTAGACGGTCTCATCAACTCACTACTCCTTGTGTGCTCACCATCACCCTGCAGCTGCTGCAGGCACTGGTGATGCGTGAGTTCTTGCTACTCTGGGGAGAGGGGAAGAAGGATGGCAAGGATGTAGACAAGAGGCGGTCTGAGTAAGGCGAGGAGAAGCGATTACATGCGAGACTTTGGATGTGAAAGAGCACTGGCGTGAGCTGAATAGATGGCAGAGGGCAGCGGGCGACAGGACTGAGACGACAAGGAGCAAGCAACGCATGATGCATCCGCCCTGCTGGTGCGTCTTCAATCCCAGGTACCTCTTGCATTGGAAACGAAAGGAGCCTGTTGTCCCAACCGATCTGCAGGCAACCGTCCAAAGAGCAACCTGCCACACACTCGGGCTGAGAGGCACACTCACAGGCATGCACACACACAGACGCATGCACACACGCACACATGCATGCACACAACCCCTCCCCCACACGCACACACGCACCTGCACATGCACATTCAGAGCAGCCAGTGGAAAGATTTCAGAGGAGAAAGCAATGTAATGCAGACAGATGTAATGCAGCGCGATGAGCGTTTGGCAACACACGAGGCGAAGCAAAGAGTACAGAGAAGAAAATACTTAAATGCGTCAAGGAGCAGTCAAAGCTTCGTTCCTGCCCCTTCTCCTTGCTGGACGGTTGTCTCTGGTACGAACCGGCAATGGAAGCTCCGCCCATCGCCCCTCAACTCAGTGCGGTCCCCTCCACCTCCCAGGCCGTGAGGCACACACACGCATGGGGAGAAGGGAGAGATACACAGCCACACAGGAGCGCTGCAAGAGGATTAGAAGCAACGGGAGGCGTGTGATGGACCCGCAAGCAACAGACACGACTCTTGCCTCTGCGCGGCGACACGCTACGACTCACTTCACTGCCCCCCTGCAAGCATCCCCTGGCACATACCATGCTCCGCCCGCCACTCTCTCACTCCTGCGCACGCTTTCACTTGAGGCGTGCTGCTCCTGGTTGTCTCTCGTGAGCGCCAGCAATGGACGCTGCGTCCATTCCCGTCCGTCTCGCAGGCGGTGAGGCACAACACATGGGGAGAGGGGAGAGATACACAGCGACACAGAAGCAATGCAACAAGGGAGGGTTAGAAGGAGCAGGAGGCGTGTGGTGGACGCAAGGGCAACAGACACGACTCTTGCCTCTGCGCGGCGACGCCCTATGACTCACTTCACTGCCCCCCTGCAAGCACCCCCTGGCACGTACCATGCTCCGCCCGCCACTCTCCCACTCCTGCGCACGCTTTCACTTGAGACGTCCACGTGCTGCCATTGCTCTCCGTCTCGCAGGCCACGAGGCACACACACACGAGGGGAGAGAGACACACACACAGAAGCAGTGCAATATAGGAGGGTAAGAAGCAGCAGGTGGCGAGTGATGGACCTGCAAGCAACGGACACGACTCTTGCCTCTGCGCGGCGACGCTTTACGACTCACAACACTCCCCCCTGCAAGCAACCCCTCCCGCGTACCACACTGTGTCCGTTGCTCTGCCACTCCTGCACCACGCCTTCCCTTCATGTATGCTGCTCCAAGTTGCTCCAGGTTGCTCCGTTGCTCCGGCTGCCCATGCTCGCAGGCCGTGAGGCACACACACACACGCACGGGGCGAGAGACACGGACACAGAAGCGGCACCAACAAGGGAGGGGTAAAAACAGCTGTAGGAGAGTGGCGCAGGCAAAAGCAAGAGACACGACTCATGCCTCTGCGCGGCGACGCTCTACGACTCACTACACCCCCCCCCCCCAGCCGTCTCGT